ATTTTGTATATTACTTTGAAGGATTTTTCGAAAGGCGCTGAATGTCCTGAGTTGACCAGATGTTCTGTCACTGAACTGTATACACGTTTTCGCTCTCCTTTTACTAGCCAGACTGGGTAGTGTTCACGAGCGCGTTTTCCAAGTTGGCGCATGGTACGGCCAATGTACTCAGCTCCACAAGAGCAGGTAAACTGGTATATGCACGTTGAGGTGGCCCAATGCGACAGCTTGTCTTTCACGTTCTGGCTGAACAGTTTCTTGCAGGAAAACGTTAGTCGTAGGCTCGCGACAAAGTATGTTTTCATCAGAGATTTGCAGAGACGTTTGCGAAGGATTTCTGCTTCAATATCACCTTTGAATTCTAGATTAAGCAGAAGTATCTTCTTTGAAACGGATTGGACTTGTTCAGGAGTCTTCTTTGATTTGAGGTTCTTGTCTGTGAACCTAGGCGGAAAACCGTTTTCCATCAGGGTTTTTCGGAGATTACGCAGTTCTTCATCAATCACTTCCTCGCTGCATATCTTCCGAATCCTCGAGGAAAGAGTGTATATCAGGTTCCTCTTTCTGCTTAGGGGAACGAAGCTTTGGAAGTTGATGAATTGTCCAGTTGTTTGTTTCTTTAATATAATTACGAATGTACAGCGCATAAAAATGAACCGTAGAAAAGAAAATTCTCTTAGCTGTTTACACCGTTTTCTTATACGGAAATTTCATGAAAAAAACACTATATCTTCTTTCCAGTAGCTTTTGTCTACTCTACACAATTATATTGATTGGTCACTTTCTCACACTTATTACGTCATCTCAACTTATGCTCATGGTTTTTCAATCTCCAATTGGTTATCCCCTTCTTGTATTATGCAGTGCATCTTCTTGAACAAATTTGCGCGTATCCGACTGGTTTTGTGAATTCTTCTTTGAATATGCATACAGCTATAGAGCTTTAGAAAATGACTCATCGAAAAGCAAATTTCCTCCGCTGTTTACATCTTTTTTCTTAGAACAGAGTGAAGTTATATTTAGAACCCGAGCTTAAATAATGTCTGGTTTTTAAATATTATGCCACTTTCAGATTGTAAATTTTGAGAAGACATATGAGACAAGTATTGATGTAGTGTGCTCACTAGCATCAGTAAACAGTGTTAGTGCGCTCTAGTTTCACCTAGGAGAGATTTTCTAGTATCCTGGTTATCATAATAAGTCATAATGGTGATTAAGTAGACCAGTGTGTTTCCAGATTCATTGACTTAGTAGTTGTAAACACAGTTTACTCTACAATACACTGTTCAGTGAAAATTCTTGGTCATATGTTTCCTTTTAAACACTTCTTAATTAACTTCAGTCGTTAGATTTTCTTCATGAATCAACATCAGTTGTAGAGACCATTGAAAAAAAAGCCAGGGACATTGGACACCTGTTGCATCCTATTTTTGAAACTCCCCATTAGTGCATTCGCTAACTTAACCATCTCTGGCGTCGGCGTGACATCCGACTATCAACCAAGGGACGTGTGTACTGCTCAGCAGTCCGCTCCGTCTTTCTCTATGGGTCTGAAACATGGCCAATACGAGTTGAAGACATGAAAAGGTTGACTGTTTTTGATCACAGGTGTCTACGATCTCTTTCTCACGTTAGGTGGTATAATAAGGTAAGTAATGTTGACGTTAGGCGTAGAGTGTTGGGCAAAGAAGGAAAATCAATTGACAAGGCTGTAAAGTTATATTGATTGAGATGGCTAGGTCAAGTGCTGCGCATGCCTAACCATCGCTTCCCCCGACGGACGGGCATTACTAGCTGATATAGGTGCAGGTTGGAAAAGAGTAAGTGGTGGCCAAACAAAAACATGGCCTCATCAATCCATGAAATCCCTGACAGTTAAACTGAGTCAAGTAGAGAGATACAGACTTCCGGTTTGGGGCCCGCCTTCGGGACTCTAAGAATCAATGGCTGGAGACAATAGGTGACATGGCTCAAAATCGTTGTCGATGGCGCAGATGTATTCAGGCGCTGTAATCTATCATATTTCTTTCTACCATTACTCATTCTGTTCCACTCTTATACTTGTCAAAACTCTATTGATTCCCTTCAGTCGTTTTCTTGTCTACCTTTGTGTGCCATTTGGAACGTGGCAACTCGAACTGCTGCAGTTCGGTGCCAAGTTCTATGTTGAATCCAGACAGACAGACAGCATTCCTGTGAAGCTAAGTACATTGGCCGTACCACTGGGGGCTTGTCTAGACGTGCGTATGAACACTTAACAGAATGGGGAATGCAGAACAGTCAACAGATCAATTCTGGAGCATATTATTACTTCGGATTGTGCAGCATCAGTAGAAACTTCTTTCAGAGTTGTGAATAAAGTACAGTCATCAAGTCGTTCGCCTACATCTTCTTCATGCAGCCGAAAGATTTTTATGTTTTTGATTCCTTTGCGTTCCCACTGGAAGACAGGGCACCTTCAAGCTAGAGCTTTAAAAATTTTCGGTAGCAGTGGTCTCATTTTTACAAGGCGAGATTGCTGGTTTCACACACCCAGTCTTCCCTCTTTGCCAGGCTTTTAAATAGCTAAGAGAGATTTGGGTGTGTGTCGGTCGGGAGCTGAACCCGGACCACCTGAGTGGCTGACAAGCATTCTACTTCAGCACTGACAGTGCTGAAGGATTAGCAATCCATGAGAAGAAACCAGAACTTTGTGTTCAGAAACGTCTCATCCAGCCTCTTTTATTATCATGGCTGGTAATGCTTGTGAACATTGAATCATTTGTTTGTTCGAACTAGTCTGCATACTGACGAGAGAACTAACTAACCATTGTAAATCTGTTTTATTATCGCTTGAAGTATAAACGGTCGTGTTGCTCAACCATTTGCTTTTGTTCTGCGTCGCTTACAGTGCATAGTGCTCTGAGTATTAGCCTTAGTCTTCTGAAACCATTGATAGGTCCAGGATCTCAGCAATCTAGATATTCGATAATGCTTCTAGTGCGATTTTCCCTTTTTTCATGTCTTGTTTATCTTCCAGATCAATCAAATATATAATTAAGGTCTGTGTGGTCCGTTTTTTAAAGTTTTTCCAACTCAGGTTCAATCTTTTATTCTCTAGTGTCTTACCAACCAATTTCAAATGATCATTCATTAGGCAACTAATTAATGGCCAAGTCTCTTGATTCCGTAGGACTATTCCTAATTTTCCAGACATAGTCATTCTTCAACCACTCTGATTTGCTTTGTTCCTAACTGACAATCACCTTTGACCTCTGTTGTCAATCTACATTGCACACATAACCCAGCATAAATAACTGTACGGCTTTGAAGTGAAAGTAGTTACGAAGAAAAGAGGGTATCTCTTAGCTGCTGACTTATGTATACCTTAGTTCGAGTTATCATACTGAGTATTGTTGATGCATCAGTTCAGAGAGACGATTCACTAAAATTAGACGAGTCAATTCTCTTGAGATATATGTGTCAACAGGAAATCATAACTTTGCATAAATATTAAACTTATCCCACACTTTTTTCAAGATATTTGATACTGGCGGCAAATGAAAACAAAGCAGTAAACTAAATGAACCATTGTACAATTGAACAAGTTAACTTTGTTGCACATGATATAAACCAGGTGAAAATGTTCACGAGCGCGATTTTCAAGTTGATGCATGGCACGGCCAATGTACTCAGCTCCACAAGAGCAAGTAAATTGGTATATGCACGTTGCAGTGGCCCGATGCAACAGTTTGTCTTTCGCGTTCTCGTTGAACAGTTTCTTGCAGGAAAACGTTAGTCGTAGGCTCGCGACGAAGTATATTTTCGTCATAGATTTGCAGAGGCGTTCGCGAAGGATTTCTGCTTCAATATCACCTTTGAATTCTAGATTAAGCAGAAGTATTTTCTTTGGGACGGATTGAATTTGTTCGGAAGTCTTCTTTGATTTGGGTATTTTGTCTTGGAACCTAGGCGGAAAACCCTTTTCCATCAGGGTTCTTCGGAGATTACTCAGTTCTTCATCAATCACTTCCTCGCTGCATATCTTCCGAATCCTCGAGGAGAGAGTGTATATCAGGCTCCTCTTTCTGCTTAGGGGAACGAAGCTTTGAAAATTGATGAATTGTCCTGTCCATGTAAGCTTCTTGTATATGGATCTTTTCAGAAAGTTGTTGGCGTTTCTTGTCAGATGGACGTCGAGGAAGTGGAACATTCCGTCGGATTCGGCTTCAAGAGTAAAGTCGCTGTTTTGGTGGGCATTGCTGAATGTTTGAAGATATGCGGAGAGGAGATTATTAATGAAGAACTGAGTAATCTCCGAAAAACCCTGATGGGAAACGGTTTTCCGCCTAGGTTCCAAGACAAAAGTCTCAAATCAAAGAAGACTTCCGAACAAGTTCAATCCGTCCCATAGAAGATACTTCTGCTTATTCTAGAATTCAAAGGTGATATTGAAGCAGAAATCCTTCGTAAACGCCTCTGCAAATGTCTGACGAAGACATACTTTGTCGCGAGCCTACGACTAACGTTTTCCTGCAAGAAACTGTTTAACCAGAACGCGAAAGACAATTGAAAATGATTGAATTAACGCTCAAGAAGAAGAAGTAGAGTAAGCAGAAGATGTTCTGTGTTTTTTTTTCAAGCAGAAATTATGAACATACATGAATCAGAATGTTTTTATGCTAGTAACAGGTACATGACAAGGTAATGTGAGAACACATACACCAACACATGTGAGCAGCAAATCGAAATGAATTGAAATATATTCTCGGAATCAAAGGTATGTCAGTCGATTCTTAATACACACACACACATACATACATAAATGGATAGTAGTGAATTTGAAATTTGTGAAATATATTCAAAATTGTTTGTTCTTTGCAATGACATATTTAAAAAAGACAGAAAAAGAAAGAAACATCTCTGGTACTCTTCGTCGAATATTCTAGAATTCTCTATTTTGTCTTGAAAGATATCAGTAGCAATCAATATATTGTTATGGAAGCTCCAGTCTTCCCATTTTAGTTCACTATATAGATTGGTATTCGACACACTGGACACTGTAAATTCTGGGGAAGTATCAAAGATGTAAGCAGTCTAAGAACGTAAACTAACTGTGAAAAGACACAACATGTTTTATTTAATTTAATTTTTATTTGTGAAGAGACTGGAAATGTCAGGGAATTCCTAGAAGCCTAGTAGGATTGAAGGCAGTTAGCAGGAAGTCTTGCTTGACCTAGGTCTTCTGTTAGATGACACTCATCAGTCAGCAAGGCGCCTATCTGCAATCCTGAAGGAACTCATTTCTCCTTCTAAGACTGGCAGGCGTGTCACTCAGTACTGCAGTCGGAGACGTTACAACTAAGTTATCGGAATCTTTTACTGTGTGCATCCAGTTCAGCTTGTTGATCACTCAACCACTAGGCTGGAATTCAGTGACCAGTAAACTTCTCACTTCTGTCTGTCTTAAGAAGTCTGCCAAACTAGGAGGAAACAAATAGGTCTCCAATTTTCCTTGAATGTCAATGATTCCGTAAACGGTACTTGTTCTTGATGAGCCCTAAGTTTGAGATTACCTTCGGCAAGATAGAGCCTTATATATAATTTATGTTGACTATGGTTTCAGTCGGTAAATAGAATTAATGTTGAAGCTATCTTCCAAGTGTCCTTCTTCTTGGCAGTAAGTTTCTTTGAGATTTCATCCTCTCCTCCACCAAAACTCCTACATTTTTTGAATGAGCTTGAGTAGGTCAATGACAGAATGGAAGTGGTTCCACACAACTGATTGATTACAGAATCTCATCATGAACTGATATCGATCAGAGAACCAGTGGAAAACCTGGGAGTATGGGACAGCTGTTTTGTTCTAATTTGGAACTCATCGTCAGTATGTAGACACTGGGGTTTTGAACACACGACCTTTCGGTTACTAGGCGAGTCGGTTAGGCATTAAGTCACTGGAACCAGACTCAATGGCCAGACCATGAATTCCACCCTCTGCCGATAAAGTGCACGATATAGTGCGACTGACACTAGTGAATGTCATCGCTGGCGAGTATTTGTTCTTACATCCGACCTGCTGTCCCTCACTGTTCATTGATTCTCACTAGAACCAAGGTGACCATCCACCTGAGTAGGATGAGTCACTAGTGAGCATCAGATCGCAGATGGTAATGGTTAGTGCCAGTCACGCTAGATCGTGAACTAGCCGAAGATGCATTTCATGAGCTGGCCATAGGATCGGATCCCAGTGTCTGAATGGTCTGCGAGATCGCCTTGAAACCGACAGATCCTGGGTCTGAAACCCTGTGGCGATGTACTGACGATTAGTCCCAAACCAGGACGGAACAGCTCTCCAGTACTTCCTGGTTCTGTAACTGATGTCAGCTTATCCCGAAATCCTGTCATCAATCAAATCCCTGCAAACCAATATTTGAAATTGATTGGTTGTTTGGCGCCTTTACCTTGAAAAAACTGAATAAACTTTTGATATGATTGTGTTCTCCAGGTTCACTGGTTTAATTTCATAGCTTTCATTGTCTCCTTCTAGACAGCAGCTTCAACATGGACTTCAGTATGAAGTGAATTTATTAGGATACTCCATAAACCATGTGATTGTAGCTTTCATTTGACACCAAGTTCTATCTAGTGTCACTGGTCTAGTCTTTTGGAGTAAACTGAATTCTATCAGCCAAGTTTACCATATGGTCCTCGCGCAACATAGCTCGCCATGACGGTGTGTGCTCTGGACTGTTGTTATTGTATGGTTGGAGACAATCATCAGTAGGAAGCTTCCGCTCTAGGTTTTGTGCTTGTTGACACTCGTCAGTCAGCAAGGCATGTCTTCAGCCTTGAGGGAAGTCAAAACCCTTCTGCGATTCGGATTTGTGTCACGCAATGCTGTAGTCAGAGACATTAGCAGTGAGTCTTACTGATGATCGCTAACCTGCACAAAACCTGCATCAAGCAAGGCATCCTTCCGATTGCCTCTCACTATATGATGACGTTTCATATATCAGATTGCAACAGTCAACCGTCAGTTTCTAGGAACTGTCAATTACAACTATCAGCATCTACATAAAGCAATAGAAATTAGGATAGATTTCGCATGCACATGAACAGAAGGTGCATTTCATGATACAACCGCCAGTCGATAAAATCAATAAGCAAACAAATTACCTCTTCAGTCCATGTGCACAAACATCTATGATGAAACATATGAAAACACGGCAATCCCATGACACGATCACCGATATGATAATTTTCCATGCATATTAAACAATGGCTTAGTTTCTTCAAGCTTGACTCATCGGATAAAACACTGATTGGCAATAGATTTAATAGATAGATACGAAGTGTATCTGTAGAAATGATAAAGAGAGTGATAATAAGAATCGGCCTAAAACAGGAATCATTCATTACAGGATTCATGGTGTGATCGGATCACTGTAAAATGTCATCACGTTTTTCTTACCTTGGTCTTGGTCGAAACGCCTACGAATCAGAACAGTCTGTTTTCACTGCCCTGGGCTGATTTCATTGTGGCTAAATATATACATATATATATATATATATAACGTGTTTCCCTTAATAAAATTGTATCCTAACTGTCACAGGCCAGTCTTTGTCTTTTAATATTTACGTGGCTCAGTGAAACGGAAGGCGCTTCGGACGAATAGGTAGGTAGCATATCAGTGGAGTTGTCTATTATTATATTATATTATTGTTCCCTTCAGTTCCTTGAGGAACATAGGGTTTCAGCCACACGTTTCCATTGCGTTCGGTTTCCCCCCACCAACGCATCCACCTGTCTCCACGTCTGCCCACATGCTTTCATCTCCTCTTCACATGACCTCCTCCATGTCACCCCACTCTCGCACTGACGACCAACTCACAGCTGCCCACTCTGCCAGGCTCCGATCGTGGGCCTGTCTATTGATGTCACTTGATGGTTTGGTTTCTCAGAGTATGGCCAATCCACCTCCATTTCCTCCTGCTTATTTGTTGCACAATCGGTTCCTGCTGGGTTGGTTCACTCATTGTCAGAGATCCCTGTCGCTGATATTTTCTGGCCGGCCATCTGATCTTGAGTAGTATTGAGCGAAGACAGCTGTTGATGAAGTCCTGTGGTTTGTTCGAATCGCTCTTCATGACGCGCCAAGTGTCTGATCCGTATAATAAGTAGCACTGATTTTACATTGGAGTTGAAAATCCGAATTTTATTTTTCATGCTGTCCATTGTGTCAGTATTACTATACCCACGCGTAATCCCAGTGAAGCTATATCAAATGACAACGCCATCATATCAGTTGGCTATCGGTACATAAGAAGGGTAAGGGGGGAACACAACGACAGTACAGAATAATTATGTATGCTGAAGTTTGTAAATTTGATTGTTCATCTGCGTGAGCTGATAGGTGAATCATCTCCGAATATATTAGTTATTAAATGTTTCTGGATTGAGGTTGACGATATTTCATATTGCAAACCAACAATGCACCATGAAGTCCAACCGGCTGTTAATACTTTTTTGAATCAGGAACAATAAACATGGTTGATTGTATCCTCTAGATGTCTTAGGTATGAACTAAGGTGTAAATCTGTGTACAGCTTGACAGTTTGCAATGTACTTCATCCGCGTGACTTCGGTTTATATTCCCAGGATACAGGGCCAAGTTAAACTTTAGGCACCACTAACTACCAATCAGCAAACGACCTCGAACGGTCCAATGAGGTTCATGCACGTGAGTTCAGGGTTGTATAGCGCTTGCTTCGTATCAAATGCGTGCTCTAACGAACTTACACTTGCAGTTCTAGGGGGATATGGTTTTGCAGAATTTGATGGATTTGGGTTTGCTTAGGAAGGAGAAGATTTGTTCATGTGGTGGTGTCGTGAGTTTGAAAAGCTTTAGCAAGTCGATTGATGGATGGATGTCCATCTGTGTGAAATTCACTTGAAACGAGTTAGTATTAGGGAAGGTAAGCTGATAATTTTAATAATTCATAGGAACATTTTTTGCTAGGTCGCATCTCTCCCTAACCCAGATTTTGTATATTAGTATCTAGTGGGTTTTAAAACAGCCTGTGAGAGGCGCAGCTGATGAAACCGAAAATAGCCTTGTGTCAACAGTTCAGTGGTACCAGCAGTGCAGAGACATCGCGTCATGGAAAATGGGGAGAATTACTTCGTTGTTAGGCGGAGAAGGAATCTTCGTACACGTGGATGAAACCGAGTTACTGAAGATAAATACAACCGTGGTCTTGAGCGAGCCAACAATGTTTGAGTGATCGGTTTATATGATACCTCACAGCGGAATGGATTCGTGGTGAGAATACCAGCCAGAAAGTTTACTACCTTAGTACCTGTTGTCACTGGACCTGTTAAACAGAGGTCTATGGTACATGATGATGAATGGAAGGGTTATAACTCGCTGTCATCTCTTGGATATATTCATCACAGAGGGAACCATTCTAATGATTTTGTGGATCCAATTACATGGACATACATGAATTCTATAGAAGGATTTTAGGGAAGATTCAAAAATAGGCTTAGAGCTATCAATAGGTCACAAAAGGATCTCATTTATAGTCATTTGGATGAATATATGTACAGAAGGTGTTGTGAATTTTCTGTTGACACTCCTATGCTAAACTGGGAGATGTTTCTATCACATGTTAGAGAAAGATACCCTACGTAACAGTTGTGCGTAGTTTTTATGGGTTTTTTTCCATAAATAACGTTTTCCTTAATCAAAAATCTCTCTTTCATGGAATTAGTCCGTTGAAGGTCGTTAGCTGATTGATAGTTAGTGGTGCCTAAAGTTTAACTTTTCCGGATAGAGCCTTTACATCTTTTTAGTGTAATACAATATCTATGGCGAGAAAAAAGATCTAACACTCAGGATGTTACTAGGTGATTTTATAAGCACCTGAGGTGATTGCATTCCCTTCTGAACTATTCCAGCACTACAACTTACACTCACTAAATATAACAGTAAGGATTTATTAGAAGACAATCCAGACTTCGGGTGTTGGTGTATAGGGATTTGAAAAAACCAAGCACGGATCAATGATTCATATCAAGTAGAGAAATATTGATGGAAGCAACCGAGTGGAACTGAAGGAAAATTATATTCCAGTGGTCGAGTCTCTTGAAGTACACGACAAAAGCGCCAACTCAAATGGTATACAGATAGTGAGATAGAATTCAACATGCTCTGAAGATGCTGGATCAGATCCATGCAGGGTTCAAATGCGTGAAATGCAGAAAGGTCCAAAACCTGGAGGAAGCAGAGACACTTACAACTGTTAAATCAGTAATATCAGTTCGTGGTCGAAAATGAAACTTAAATTTTCTGAGGTAGTTGGCGTTGTCAAACGTAATAATGACAATTCAACCACTTGTTTAAACGAACAATCGTGGCATGTTAGATGTCATATTTAGAACGCAAAATATGCGGCTCCATGGAATTTCCCTGCAAACAAGGAATATCGCTCTCCTACAATATGCATGAAAACGACATACTATGACATTCTCCCTCAGCAACACTGAAAGCAAACACATCTCCGCTTTAAAAACAACTGCGAAAATACCTATCGACCAGGAAAACACATGAACATCACGTCAAATGAATCCGTGTCAAAAATAATAACAGACGTCACTGACAAAGAATAAACCAACTCAGGAGAGAATAAAAAATTCACACGAATATCTTCTCTTTCCTCTCTGAGCAGAAACATTTCATCAACAATATTCACCTGATGATACATAAACGCTTGCTACTAATCAACAAACACGTAAACGGTACCTCACTCAGCACACACCAACATGACATCAAAACAAACCAGAGTTCCTAACAGTCTCCACAAAATATCACACAGTCCCACTCAAAATCAATTCCACCACGACATTTCACGGGTGGAGTTTCCACGACCCACCTCGCCATATCCACCGTTTGCTACAATAAGCTGACATAACAAAATATCGTCTACAGTCATCACTCAATTGACGCTAAACACAAATGACGCGCCCACCACTTCTTCAATATATGAGTCACACAAACAAACAACAATCGACCACTATACTATTTTTCATTGTTGTTGTGTGAATGTAGAAGCCTACTCGTCTGTTTTGTGTTCGTCGTTGGAGCGTTTTCAGATGTAAGCGAAAAAAGTTAAGAGAGATTAAAAAGAGAGATAATAAACAGAAATATGAGGCAAAAAGAGTAGACTGGCAAATCCCAAAGAGTTAATCAATCTGAGCCCAAGACATCGAGGATGTTGAGCCATATCGTCTCCAGTCATTGGTTTTTATCATCCTCAGGAACCTAAACCAGAAGGCAGTCTACACCTTCCCACGTGGCCAGCTTAAACTAACTGTTATGGATTTCATTGACTGATGAAGTCATGTTTTGGTTTGAACACCACCATTAGCTCCTTTCCAACCTGATCCTTTGTCAGTCAGCTAACATTGACAGTCTAGAAAGACGATGGCTAGGCATGCGTAACATACATCCTAAACGCCTGAATAGATGTAGCTTCACAACCTCATCGATTGATTTCCCCTTCTTACCTGGCACTCGACGGAAGCCTCACCTCAATATTTCTCACCTTATTGTATGGCTAAACACAGGAGATAGAACGCAGGCCCCTATGATCAAAGACAGCTAGCTGGCCTTTCCATGTCTTCTTCAACACTGATATCAAGTTAGTCAGTGTTTCTATGTAAATCAGAAAACTTGTGGGTTTGTCGTCAAAAGCATTTTCAACAGTTTACTCAAGACTGCCTTCGTTGGCTCTATACTAAAGAACAGATGTTTAGAAAAGATGAGAAAGAAGTAATTATGATAACGAATGGGCCGAGAACCTGTCTCCCAACAAATATACAGAAATTCATACAAGCGGTTTCCTTTATTATTTTGAATAAAGAAAGGAGGAACCCATTTGCAGGATAATACGAGCTGGTTTTACTTCATAGATTCTCTTCAACTGTGTGCATCCCGAACAAAATCAACTCCAAGCTACAACATTTCTGACCATCCTTTTTTCAGAATGACTTCGAGTTATAGATAGAAAGTAGAAGCGACATAATTTCAAAGATGATGTAAGTAGACAGATTATTCAGTGTTAAAAGAGTAACTACTAATTAGACAGGAGAGTGGAGTCCAGATTTGGCTTTGAAACAAGGATGAACTAGAGACAAATTACAAGACGGAAGAAGAGAGTGAATTTATACATATTGTACTGGAGAGTTTGGGAGGGTGAGGGTGAATAATAATAATTATTATTATTGTTTCCTTTAGTTCCTAGAGGAACATAGGGCTTCAGCCGCACGTCTCCACTGCGTTCGGCTCTCTGCCAACGTTTTCACCTGGCTCCTTGTCTGTCCACATGCTTCCAACATCTCCTTTTCACATGACCTCCTCCATGTCACCCTCAGACTGATGACCAACTCGCCACTTCTCATTCAGGTTCCACTTGACAGCCTGTAATGTGATGTCACTTGATGGTCTGTTTTCTCAGAGTATGGCCAACCCACCTCCATTTCTCGTGAGGGTGAATAGTGAAGTAAAATTATAAAATGGAAAAAATTACTTAATTTAACAGATTTGGAAACTTCACTGTGAGTTCATCTCAGTAAGCGAAAATCAAAGTCAAGATTGAGTGGAATGTTGTGCAGTATACTAAAACATAAAAGCAGACAAACAAAATAATCATGGTTACCATAGAAGTGAGAGATTTTTCAGGCTGTCTTTCTGTATACAGTGGTTGGATAGAAGTCTTTTCATTGTATTGGCTTTTGATAACCAAAGTAACCAAGGTTTTCTTATTGTATTGGTTATTTGAAAGCGTGAGTAATTCCCACTGCATGTCCGGTGTCTCTTGTCTAACTATTCTATAAATGGTTACCTTTTGATTGGACACTAGTCAGTAACTAGTGTAATGTGTGTGTGCTTAGTCGTATCTTTGGTGCAGACTGAATTCTATCAGTCATGTTTGCAGTGTGGCCACCATGCTAAGTGGCTCACCATCAGGGTTCACTGAGAATTGTAGTTATTAGATGGTTGGCGGCAGTCGGTCACAAGACGCCTTGGACCTAGGTTTCGTGCTAGTTGGCACTCATCAGCAAGGCTTATTTGGAACCTCGAAGGGATTCATGTCCCCTTTGAGATTCGAACGTCTCAGACTGTAGCATTGAGTGACATGGGTTCGAATAAGCACCATCCACATTTCAACAGTGGAGATTACATCAGTGAAATAGAGTCTGTTGCATAAGATAAGACGATTTTTACACTATTGGGTTACTGTAAACTAGGAAAGAGCCTTTAAAGATAGTTTCTGTTAAGCAAAATGATAGATTTTCAGCATGAAAGTGCTAAATTAATGAAGAAAAAATCGCCTGACTTACTAAAAGCGTCAGCAGGTTGTTCGCGAATTCCAGATTGTTCAACAGATTCCACTGAGGCATCTACTGAAGTCGGTGGATTCGATATTTCCAATGCAATTTCTGGTTCTGTTCGAGTTACTTCTGATTGTGATCGTGTTAAAAGATCCACTTGTACACTGGCATCTGCAGGAGGATTCACAGTCTGAATAGCCTATAAAGATAAAGAATTTTATGATAAGAAGGAGTTAATTGGTCTGTATGACCTTGTTCAAATGGTTTTCAGCACTTAATGATATTAACCAATAACATGTGCATCTGTAATTCTGAAAAGATTGATACTTCCTGTGCAGGAATCAAACTCAGGCTGTTTATATAATGATTTATAAAATGATTTAAAACCAGGTTATTCGAAGTACGGCTTCATTTTCTCATCATTTTCTGCTTTCCAAGTAGAATTTATGCTTTGGAGTTTCAGTACTCGAAGCATTTTATACACAGGATGGGATGAAAATAATACAAGTAGTATGGAATTCAAAGACACATATAAAAAGAAGGAAGACCAGATGTTCTATATAGGATTCTCAACGAGGTTGGAATTAGGGTGGCAATTAAATGCCAACCAACCAACCATCTCTCTCAGAGATAAACTTTTTCAGCTTAAGGACCTCATCGATCCAATTATATATGTATATTATATATGTATTATTCCCTTGAATTATGAGTAGAAAATAGGTCTTCAACAACACATCTCCACTTCGTTCTTTTATCTGTTGTCTTCTTTGACTTTGCCCACGGTTACCGATAATCTCTCATCTCCTCCTTCAACTCACACAGTCTCCTCCATGTCACCCTCGCACCTGCGACCCACTCGTCATTTCCTATTTGGATTTTACTCGACCGATGGCCTGGTACACGATGTGATTCGACGACCTCCTCAGCGTGCGCCTGATCCATCTCCATTTTCTCTTAATTTTTTATTGAACGATAGTTTCTTGGTTAGTTTCTTGCCAGGTAGAGTTTCCTGTTGCTAATTCTTTCTGACTGGCCGACCATTCGACCTTTAGTATGGAGCCAGCGAAGTGGGCAGCTGTTGGCAAAAGTCTGAAGTGACCTGTTGGAAATGCTTTTCGTGACAAACCTGTCAAAATTCTGACCCGCATAGAAGAACTGACTTACTTCACATTTGTGTCGGAAATCTCAATCTTATTCTCTATGCTAAGCGAGTGCAGAAGATTTCCAAACTCGTATCAGGTTGATGGAGGATATCGTGCCCTTCCGATTCTAACTTCTTCTGACGTCTTCATCCATCTCGTCTGGCTGTGTTGGAAAACATGCTTCCCAGCTACATGAGTTAAGGAAGTGAAGTAACCTCTGTCAAATCACTATCGTTGCTGGTTAATTGTGCTGGATATTTGCTGTTAGTGCGTGGGTATCTTTATCACATCCATCATCTATATGTTCACCTAGATTCCTGTCATCGCTGCCTGTTCAGCCAATTTGTTGGTTTTCGCCTGTCTGGGACATTGAAAATAAATCACAGTCTGACGCATAATCCAGTTCAACACAATTAGGAATAACATCGGTGATAATAGGCAGCGAGCCTATCTATCTATCCATCTGTATATTTATCTATCTATCTAGATATGATATGGTAGAGAAGATTTGTAGCTCAGGTGGATGATTTTTATGTCGTTGTATTGTCTCAGCTGGATAGGTAATTTTCGAAGCTTTCATCGCCCCACCAGGCGACATCTTTAAGTGAGTTTCTAGATTTCTCCACGAGTTTATTAATCATCTTTCCCGGTGAACTTGGAAGTGATTGGTTGTTTTCGTATGTTTTCACACCTTCTAGGTTACTTGTGTTGGAACTGATTGTTTCTTTGACTTGACCCTTTCTTATCGGTCGATAAATTTTGTCTATTTCCATGTATCTATTGATTAATGATTCACTGAAATGCCAAGCTTCTAAAAATTGTCTAGCATTCTTGTTGTTACCTCTGTCTCGTATTTGAACGTTGGTTTGGTTTTCCCAGTCGAATTAATGTCCATGGTTCTCTGTATTTAGGGATATGAGGGAGTGGATATCATGTATTTTGACGGCTAGCTTATGTTCGTGGATACGAAGACGAAGGGGACGTCCACTTTGGCCAATGGAGTGTTTTTCGCAGGTGTTGCAATTTATTTTGTAGATGATGTTGGTTTAATCTTCTTTCGCTGTTGAGTCTTTTGTTTGACATGGAACTGAGTGAAGTGATTTTGTTGGTTTGTGTACGACGTCAATTCCTAAAAGTTTGAAGAGTCTTGCAGTGATTTCCTTTTGTTTGTTATTGGATTGTTGCTGTTGTAATTCAGGATTTGGTCTGTGTAAATTGATTTTCTATAAACTTGAATTTCTAATTACCCTGTGGTTGTTCGCTTGACTAAGACGTCCAGAAATGGGAATCCGAGAACAAAATCCCAATTTTTGACGTCTCAGTCAAGCGAACAACCACAGGGGAATTAGAAACTCGAGTTTATAGAAAATCAACTCACACAGACCGAATACTGAATTACAACAGCAACAATCCAATAACACACTGAAGGAATTGCGTACAAACACTATTCAAGAGGGCCAGGACACATTGCAGCACTCCCACCTTAAGGAAAATTGAAGAAGGATATCCCATGGCCTCCTTCCAAAAGAATGGATATCCACGGAATTTCATCAAAAGACATATACCCCCAAGCCAACCTGTCAAACCAAAAGCCCCCAAGGAAAGCACAAAGAAAATCATCCTACCATATATAAAGGATATCTCAGAAATCACTACAAGACTCTTCAAACCTTTAGGAATTGATGTTGCACACAAACAAACAAAATCACTTCACTCATTTCTATGTCAACCAACAGCAACAGAAGAAGTGTGAAGGCTTGCAAGTTAAACTGATAGAAATAGTGACTAATAAATTACCTAGTCATTCCTATGCAGAGATCATTGATTCCGTTGCGCAATCAGCCGAAGTAGTGCAGAGCAATTTATCAGTCGATGCATTACCTGCGTAGTTTACTTTCAATGAATCCATGAAAATCGATGCTGAAAGTCCGATTGATAATCGAGATTCCAGTAATGCATCAAAATCTAGTGAAGATACTATTTGTGCAAAATCAAGAGATATGTGATCAGTACAAGTGCTAAGATTTTCATTCCAGTCTTCTCTATCTCAAAGTAGAAGGAACAGTTTTCTCTCCAGTTCCTAGATTGTGACTTGCTGCTGAAACGGCTTCTGGAGATAAATTTGAACTTAGTTGGTGAAATCTCTTGTGATGTTCAATCCATTTCAAAGGATTTTACAGATTTTTACTATCTCATACCAATCGTCATGATTTGAATGTATATAGAACATTTGGCTGGATTGATAAAATATTGTTTTTGGGAAATCCATTTTCGATTGGTTTGGGGATTTCATAAAGACCTGGGTCCGAACCCCGGCAGGAGCGTACTACTGAAGAGTCCCAAACCTGGCTGGCAAAACAGCCGTCCAGTACTGAAGTGCAGGTTATCCAGTGGATCTTTAACTGATGTCAGATCATGATGACTAAAAGAATTTATTTGTTTATTGTATTGTCTATACACACACATATTAAGAGCTTTGTTAGATTTATCGCCAACTGCAGAGCTAATAGAAACCGCTCTAACGTTGAAGTAGGGTTATTTCCACTCTGTTGTTACCGTCTCAATTCAGGTAGTCTGCAGCTGATGACAGACAGCCTGTGAAATGAAATGACGTCATTTTATACTGCAAATCTGATTTGATTTTTTCTCTTGCATTTATCGACAAACGACGTTACGCTTTGTGATGCTTTGACAGTTTGATAGCAAGTTGAAGGCCTCTAGATATCGAATACTGCAAACAGCAGAGGCCATTGCAGTTCGCTCAAGTCAACCGGAGCTCAGCGTGCAAAAGAAACAGGTCGATCGTGCCAGCCACTACCGTTACTCTGACCCGCTGTCGGACCTTTGAATTCATAAATTTTCAACTATTTTCCCGCATAAAACTATTTACTACTGATTGATTGGGATGAGTAGTAGCATACCACTGATAGATCACCTCGATCTGGCTGGCTGGCTGGCTGGCTAGCTAGCAAGCATTCACTACTGGTTGATATAAGTGGTATGCAACTACCCCTCCCAATTAGTCAGTAGTATATAGTGTTATGTAAAATCAGTTCAACTCATTCGAAGAACATTTTAAAAAATAGAAAAAATGCATGAGAAGGAACAAAGAATATTTTTGTTGTTTATGTGACTCACTGTGATTGGAGGACCTGTTTTATCGTTTGAACTACCTGTATTTCGAATTGATATATTAGGTATACGTGTAGCAGGATCATTCTGTGGATCTACACCTTGGAGTATAACCTGTAAATAAAGGGCAAATCAATTAATAATAATAATATTATTATTATTGCTATTATTACCGTAACTATTCATTCTAAAGAGATCAAACCACAAACATGTGAACTGAAATAAAGTTTAATTCAGTATCTCACTACACACACACACACATCTCACATATTTGGAACCCTTGACGCCATAGAAGAAGAATTCGACCTCCAGAAATATACCTCCGTCCTAACAGGAATTTAAAGGACTGAACGAAATGATGTATTCCTTTTCAATTAGTTCCTCATCATCATTGGCCTTACACTAATGCACATATATATATATATATATAAGAAAACCGTCTCCATGCATTTGGAATTCAAAGGTGATCAAGCTTCATCAGATATGCTCAAAAGCCGTCTCTCTAAAGCAGTTGGTAAGGCGTTCTTTGCAACAAAATTACAAATGACGTTCACCAGCCGCAAGTCCTTCTCCATCTCTGTAAGTGATAGGCTCAGCCATCTCACCGCCTCCATGTACATCTGTCAGTTGACCTGCTCTTGTGGAGCAGGGTACATTGGTCGTGGCCAGAGAACGCTTTCCACACTGATTGGAAAACGAATTCCAGCATGGTTTTACAAGGAAGAAAGGAAGAATGCGTGAAGCTGTGTTCTAGAACAGCTTATCGACTCCTATCACTTTACTAACCCTGAGCATGATTTTAAGTTGTGGTGAAAGATGGTTGCTAGCCAAATTGTTAGACAGTAATTGAGGTCAATGTTAGTCATGTGAAAACATGGTCAAGATGGACAGGCGGATACAGTTAACATAGAGATTAACTGACACA